CACATAGGTGGGGGTACGCCACCCTCTCAGATGCCAACTTGGCCCTTTCCTCCTCCAAGGCCTTCTCCAACGCTGCCTTTTCAGCCACTGACTTGGCCCGCTCGTCCGCCAGCGCCCTCTCTAACTCAGTGATCTTCAGATCTACTTCTTCTTTTTCTTTGATCGACCGAGCGTGCAGATCTTCATTGCAGACCATGGCCTCATCCCACCTTTCGTTGGCGACGGTGTAGGCTTTCTGGGCCTCTTCCAACTTTTTCTGCTCGCCAGCCAACTGGAACTCGAGCGACACCACCTTGCGACATTCCGTCTCTAGCTCTAACTTGGTCACGAGCAGCTCAGCATTAACACAGTTGGCTGAATAGCCCTACACCATCGCCAATACCTCCATCTTCTTGGCGTTTTGGGCATACTCCAGCCTACACACGCGCTCCGCGCGACTTTCCTCCATCCCCTAGTAGGGATGGCAATATCAACCCGGCCCGACGGGGACCCGGACAGCCCATCCCGATAAATATGGTTTTCCCCGAAAATTATTCCCCATAGGGCCGGGGACGGTATTGAAAAATACATCCCCGATAATTTTCGGGCCGGGGACGGGAATAGGCTTCTCAACCCCGGCCCCGGCCTGAAATTTCCCCAATGATCCCCGCCTCTATAACTCTTAGCTGTATTAGATAAATATCTGCTTTCATCTTATATTCTCTCTCAACTCTCTCACTAACTCAACTCTTTCACTCTTATCTTCTCTCTCAACTCTCTCTCTTCACTCTGTCGTTCTCAACTCTCACTCTCTCTCAACTCTCTCGTTCTTCTCTCTCTCTCACAGCTCTCTCACAGTCACCGTCATGGTGACATCACCACCACCACCGCTGGCCCCGACCCTCCTCTCTCTCTCTCCCTTCTCTGCGCCTCGTTTTCTCTTTCTCTCTCTATTCTTTAGCAGAAGGTCTGTCTCTCACCACCACCGAACCCACCGCCACAGCCACCGTCACTGTCACCGTCGATCTCGCCATAGAGCCTAGTCATTGGCGTCGCTCAGATCTGTACCGAATGATGAAGGTGTACTCAGAGCAGATCTGTTAGATCTGTCCTCTCTCTCTCTCTGATCTGATGTTGTTGTTGTTGATCTGTACTCAGATCTGTGTTGTTCAAAATTTTTTTTTTTTAATTTGTGTTAATTATATATGTTGATCTGTGTTGATAATTTGATGTTGATTTGTGTTAATAATTTTTTTTTTAATCTGTGTTAATCTGTACTCAGTCTGATTAGTCAGTGGTTTGTTGAACAAAATTTTTTTCAGATCTATGTTGAGTAACTCAGATCTATGTTTTGATTATTCAGTGGTTTGTTGAACAAAATTCAAAAAAAAAAAAAAGAAGCTCGGGGATATGTCGGGGTCAGGGAAACCCGATTCCCGTTAGGGGACGGGGACGGGGACGGGAGGGTGATGAGCTCTCCCGCCGGGGATCGAGGGCGGGGGCGGGGATTTTGTAATCTTCAGGGATCGGGGACAAGGGGAGTAGTCCCCGGCCCCGCCCCGCCCCGTTGCCATTCCTACACCCCAGCCTCCCTCCTTAAATTTTCAAGCTGGGCCTTCACCTCCTCTAGCTTTACCTTCAGTGGCTTAACTTCGCCTTTTGCGAACGCCGTTTTCTTCAATAAGGCTCCTGCTAAGGTCGTCGCCTCCATCTAGGCCGAGCACAACCCTCTTAGCAGTTCAGCCTCAGTGAAACTCACCAGCGAACGCAAGGCCGCGTCCTTCACCACTCCCAAGAGCCGATCGGCAGCAGTCCTGGCTTCGTCTCCTTCTCCCTCCAGTCTCCCGGACACTGCTGGAGCGTGGTAAATGGCGGTCTTCAACCTGGCCCTCTCCCCTTCTCCTTGGGGCACAGGACCCCCTTTGGGCTGTTGCTCTGCCCCCTGCTCAGGGCCAGTCGCCCCACCTTCTACTTGTGTTTTGGAGCCCATAGCATCCCTCACCCCATCTTGTCTCCTCCAGCTCCACCTCTAGGGCGACCTCCGCCACCCCCTCCTTCATCTTCTTCAACGCTGGCCCTTCTTCACCCTTGTCCACCCTCTTCTTCCTCTTCCCCTTCAACACAGCCTCCACCTCCTTGTTGGCCCTTTCCTTCAACGGATCAATTGGGGGCGATCGTGGCTCAAAACCGCCCAAGTCTTTTTTTCCCAGCGGCTTGGGGCGCAGTTGGATTCTTTCCCTCGCGATCATTTTTGGCGAGCGACCTAGTTGTGCCTCTTTGTATTTATTGGCTTTGGCAAAGATTGTCATATCCTCTGCCTCTTGCGCCTTCCTCATCGCCTCTAGTTCTGCCGGTGCAAGCTCTCCACCGATCGGCTGAGGGCCCAACCTTAAGGCAAATAAGGCTGGGGACTGAATAAGGTCATCCCACTTAGCGCCCTCCTTCTCCCTCCATGCCTTCACCTTCTTCACCCTCTCCTCTGCCGCTACCCCCAACCTTGGCTCCACCGACTTGGTTGGCACTCTTCACACCGTGCGCACTCTCACTCCCCCGTTGGCGAACACATAGAACCACCGCGGCCTCCACCTCTTAATTGACAACGGCAACCTCGCCACCAGACCCTTCCTTGCCGTCGCTTGTGGGGTGACCCAAGTCTCTTGCTAGCCCGAAGTCTTGTAGCATGCAAAAAACTCATCCACCGTCATTGCAGCCCCCTCGTTCGCCCGCGGCCACGCGCTAGCACAGGCCAATAAAATCTTCCACGCATTGGGCATTAGTTGACCCGGCGCCACCTCCAACCGGTTTAGCACATCCACTACCACCTACGGAAGCGGCAATCTCAACCCCCCCTTCAACGCCTCCTCGTAAAGGGCAAACTCTCCCGGTCGGGCGTCGGATGGCCTCTCCTTCGGTGTCGGCAGCTTTAACTCTATTTCCGCGGGAATCTGGTATTTCTCGCGCATACCCTCCAACTCCTCCGCAGTAAAGGTTGACTTGTCGGCCTTCGTGTGCCAGTGATCTGGCTCAACCCAACTGATTGGCTTCACAACCGCTATCAACGTGGACGAGCGGGGTCGCCCTACCAGCTCCCCCTCACTCCCTGCTCGTTTCTCCGTCCTATATTGCTTCGCCAGGTCCACCGCGTCGTCGTCCCCCAACACATCTAGTCTCATGGTGGGCACTTCCTCTCGAGCCATCTCTCTGGTATGCCTGCATATAGCTTCAGATGCTGGTACAAGGTAGTTCGCAAAATGTTGCAAAGGTGTATCACTTGACACAAAAGAGTTTACTCTTGGAATGTTTTGGTTTTTTGCAAAAAGGTAGGTAAAGTGAATGGCACCAAAAGCCCAAGGCTTGCCTATATTCCAAGGGTCGCAATTAAATTTTGCCAGCTTGAAAATTTTCAAAAAATCCGCCAAAACCGCCTTTTCAACACCCTATGTTAACCTACCCTTTTGTTTTTTGCCCAACGCTTAACCTCCCCCATCACGGGATTCCGCCACGTGTACGACCACGATCCACTGTCCCCTTCCCCTACCCTGTCTTTTCTACTTCAAATCACCACGTGCCCTGCCACTTCTCGAGCCCCGCGCACTGCCACTTGCCCCCCCACTCAACGACCCTTCGCGGTCGGCCCTCCTCATGGTCGGTCCCTCCACTCGGCCACCCTTCGCGGTCAGCCCTCCTCATGGACGGTCCCTCCATTTGGTCACCCTTTGCGGTCATCCCTCATCGGGGTCGGTCCCTCCACTCGGTCACCCCTCGCTGTCGGCCCTCCTCATGGTCAGTCCCTCCACTCGGTCACCCCTTCGCGATCGGCCCTCCTCATGGTCGGCCCTCCACTCGGTCACCCTTCGCGGTCGCCCCTCTTCAGGGTCGGTCCCTCCGCTCGGCCACCCATCGCCGTTAGCCCACCTCTCGGTCGGTCTTCGCCCCTCCCAGTCTATCACAACCCTCGTTTTCTTCATTATTTCCTTCGTTGGACTAAAGTTGCACTTGGGAATAGGGGACTACTGACATGGGTAACCCCATAAAGGGTATAGCCCACCACTTAGGGCTGACATGGGTAAGCCCATAAAGGGTATAACCCACCACTTAAGGCCCAATACATAATTCAAATACTAAAGCCCAACGTTGCTGGAGTTCAACATGGCATTAAGAACCAATGACATCTAAACACGTGGCAAGAGAAGGACAAGCCACATAAGCAAACAAAGATTCTGCAAAGTTATTGCACTGCACATCAGCTATTAATGAAGTCCTTACAACATTTATTGCGATAACCCCTTCCCGTCGAGACAGAACGGTCTCACCATGAACAAAGCAAGCTAAAGCATAGACTTTCGGCCAAGATGACAGGTCGGAAGGGACAACGAAATGATTACCAAAGGATATAAGCAGGCATCGAGGAAAAGAAGGATAAGCTTTCTATCTCTAATTTATCTCTACATTCCATCTCTGTTTCTAATTTGCTCGTCGGAGGGTTCGCTGGGGGACTCCCCGTTCCCTGTTGAACTCTTGTGCAGGTTCTCCTGTGGGCTTGGTACCTCGGACACTGGTTTGGGAAGCGTGGATCAGTCCGACCCATTCCATCTGAAACACGTTGTATCATCACATTTCATTGTGGATTCAAGATTCTTTTTTAGGAATTCAAGATATTTCTGTCTTCTATTCTAAAATGATATCTAGACATTGTATCAGTCATTCTGCCAATATTGACTTGATCAAAAGGGCTCCATTTTTAAGTTGATGTAGGCTTCATTCGTCTGAGTTTGGCGAGACAGAGAGAATGTAAAATATGACACATGAATGACACTTGCAAATATATAATTTTAAATATTTATTATATGATATACATATGATATTTCACTCAATGTTAATAGCATATAGCATGGCAATCTAGAGTGCGTGCGTGCGTTTGTGGGTGGGGGGTGCGCATAAAACTTTTAGCGCATCTGAAATTGCAAGACAAGCCCTATAAAATTATATTGAAAATATTAAGGATACATAAAAATAAACTCTGATCTGAATTTTCCCATGGGAGTTATTAATATTAAAATTATTGACTTTATGAGGATTTAAATTATGGGAATCAGTCTCTCCACAAAAAATAAAAAATACATACAGTTGCTTTTTCACAGTAAGTTCGAAAAAACAGAGCATGAAACATTTTAGTAAAATATGAAAATCACGATCAAACTCCATTAAACCTCTCACATCTAGAGAAGCCCACATGATCCAGAAATACAATAGGCAGTGAAAGCAGTTTTTTCTGGCACTTAGTATGAGAGAACTCACTCGGAAATCCAACACTGTTGTCACATTTGCCAACGCAAATACCAAAACTTGTTGCGCAATAAAATGACATGCAAAAGGAGGGCGCACAACTCAATCCCATGTATCACTTCTTGACTATTCTTAATACATCACCCATAAGATGTATAGAACCGGTCACAAGCACCTGATAATTTTTTTATTTTTTATTTTTGTGATAAATAAACAAAACTTTATTAGAAAAGTATCAAGATGATGCAAAGAATACAAAATGAACAAGCACCTGATAAATGAAACCAAGGAAAAAGAAAATACAATCTCAGTACAACAAAAGTCGAAAACAACTAACCCTAACATATAACTTGACGGAACAAATGCAATTTTCCAAGAGACCTAGTGAAAAGGCTAAAAATGTCAGACATGCCAAAGTTTATTAACTATAGTCCAATTGAGATTGTACTAGCAGAGTATCGTATTTCCTCGCCAGATATTTGTGACTTGATCATAGTCTTGCAAAGAAATCAACAAAGTGACAATATGCATTGCTCAGGAATGGGTACTAATTGGAAATGGTCCACTAAAATATATGGAGCAATCAATGAAAAACTCCCTAACTTAACATTCTTCATTACCTTTTTAAGCATCGGTTGTACATCTATCAAAACATTCAAAAAATAAAAAGGTCTATGACGGTGGGAAGGATCCTCAATGGTTCAAGTAATATTAATTTCTGTTCTTCCTTAAAGATTTTTTAAAGTTCAAAATGTGTTGTGCTTTAGCAATTCTTATATATTCAAAAACTTGTACCATCTCTTTGACTCATGGGTGAGCCACTTTGACCCTATTTTCTTAACTGCCAAATAGATACTCTTAATAAAAATTTAGCAATTACCTGAAAACGAACAGATTTATGCTGTTGGACAGTATCCCGCAGCCATTTGATGGCTAAGGGAAGCGAAGGGAAAACAGTGCTGTTCTCAGAAGTCCTAACACACCTTTCCTTATCATCTTCACCTTCACAGACAAGGTCTGCATTTTTAGCATCCCCTCCTATCAAGTCAAAAATCATATGATTTACAGCCACACCATATAAAACAAATTTCCATAAAAATTTGAATTGCTTAATTAAAGAAGACAATCCAAAGCACATGAAATAAAATAGTAAATTACCATTTTTATTAAATGTGAGGTGTTTAAAATTAACAGAAATTATACTGCTAAGAAACTATACTCAGATTCTGACCACTCCACTGGAAAAAGATGTATAGCGAGTAAAAGTTGTACCTTTTTCACTTTTAATCAGGTTCTCCCATACTTTTTGAAGAGTCAGTTGCCATGACAGATCAACTTCCAAATCAGGTGGTGGTGAGGCACTGGACCACACCTTGTTATACACTGATATGTTTGGTACAAACAGTGCCTTTTTGAAGTGGACTCCTGAAACATCAAATTGACAGTCATGAATACCGAACACAAATTTCTTTTATCCACAGATGCTTTGAATAAATTTGCGTAGGTTGGAAGGTTAGGGTTGGTTGTTAGCTGCCCACTTTATGTTCAGCTACAATTCCGCTCAAATGTGGCAACTAGTAGGGGCTGTTGCTTGGTATAATGGTAACAGCTATGTTGCACGGACTAGTGTCTAGCCTTCAAGCCAACTTTTTGAATTCAGATTTTAGGACAAAGCATAACCTGGCCTTCTAGGCTTTTAAAAGCCAAAAGCCCAAAAATGTTGGCTTTTTGGTTTTCTTGAAAACACAGAACTTTAATGAATTTTTAAATTTTCCAAAATATCCCTTAGGCAATTTAAAGTTCCAAAAATGAATTTTTTTAGCAGCTTTTTTGATACAGGTTACCAAATACCTAAAATAAAACTACTACTAAAAGCCCAGCTGAACCAAATCGGTATCCATATCAGATCCCCAACCACCTGAGTAAGGGTATGAAAATGTATGTCCGACATATCTTTTTTTTTCTTTGTAGTCAGCACATCCAACTGGATATGTATGTCAACATATCTAGTTGGACATGGACATAGCAAGCATAACTGGTGTTCAGATATGCTATACATTTCTACATAAAGCTCCCTAAATATGTTTCTTTTCCAGTTGCTTCAAAAGAAATGAACTGCCAAGGCTTAGTGCTCTCTTTACATGAAAATTATGCTTCTACCCCAGGAAATGAAAGAAGACTAGTAAGACATTTGAAAATTTAGTTGACTAAACATTCTGGGACCAGAGAATAAGATGAAACTACTGTTTAGATGCATGTCCACATCTAACACACCTGCACAAGTCCTGTAACATAGGGTAAAACCTCAAGCTGTCAAGTGTGAAATGAGGTTCAAGCACGTCAGTAGCCACTTTGTGTAAATAATACCAAAGGTTAAGTCTGTGCCAGCCCTCTATCAACGAGGAACAACATTGGGCTATGACCTCTAGGCATTAGGCCTTTATTAATATCAAAAATGCATCCCACTCGGAAAATTACCATGATTAGCACATGTATTAATCAGCCGTGGAAGCAGCAACTGCGGATCCCTCACTGACATACAATTGAACAACAAAATCTGCATTTTTTTAACTTTAGCTCAGCAACATCCAGTAGAAATGAAGCAATATGATATAGACAGCCAATATATTGCACGAAAAAGTTAATAAATAAATAGTTTTAAAAAAAAAGGTGTCATGAATAAATATCTAGCTTCCCAAAAAGCCAAATTGTTCCTCATGTAATATGATTTTAGAACTCATGGTTGATAAACAAGTTTAACAAAAGTTTTATCCCTTATTATGTAAAGATAACGGCAATATCTGAGCTATCATTGTAGCCAGAGTTTAAGCTCCAATAATTTATTTAAAAAATTGACATTCCAACAATGATTTCTCTTTCTCAAGATTATTAATGCCTCTCAAACACTTAAAGAATCCTTCATGACTAAACTTTTCTCTCTTTTTTCTTTATCCTTTCATTTTTTTTGATACATCGGAAATATCTTTATCCTTCCATCATTTTTTTTTCCCCTCACATTTTAATTAAATTATAATAGACAGGTTGGTCTTCCTCTTCAAATGTGCAGTGGGGATTCATCAGATGCTCCATCTGTGTCAATATCATATGATAATGTCTAGTCAATTTTGACTTTCTATATTTTGAACCTCCTTCATTGAATGAGGTTAACCTAATATGTACACAACCAAAATCAATCTTCCCAGCTTCTATCTATTAAATTCTTTAAAAAAAAAATTATTGAACCATCAAGATTGAAAGTTTTGTGCTCCTACCTGTGTGGAGTTCTTCATGGGAGTTTTACAACCAGAACTATCCACCAGTTTATGATCGGCACTGGAATTATCATGTCGGTGATTGCTTAAGTTCTGTTGTTTATTCTCTTCTTTGATGGCAAGGCAAAACCATTTTGCGCATACTTCCATGCTTTCAGGACTGTGGGCTCCATCCATATAAAACACCAGATCTCCGGGGCTTTCAATATCGATTAATCGATCAGGGACAATCTGAGCACGTCCTTGTAAAGTAGCTGTTGTAAGCCCTTTAATAAATTGTTCAGGCAGAGAACTCTATTTCCACACCAAAAAAAAAATATGTTGAATATAACACAACATTAATAAATTCCAACACCATGTGCAAAGGAAACTTCCATTTGACAGAGCATACAGTTTGATCCAGGTAATTGACTTTGATGTGACCAGTCCTTTGCAGCCAAGTAGAACATAAAGCAATGGCAAGTCCAGCATTTAGATATTGGTGCTCACCACTAAGCCCAAGATGCACACCATTCAACAAACTCACATCCAGCAGGGGTGCTACTTGAAGATGTACCTGTAATCAGCATGACTAGCTTAACTCTCCGATAAATCCAGCAGCTCATAATTCACAACAATTTAAATGGCACAGTTTAGCCTTTTGACTGAAGTACCTGCTTGCCTTGTTGCGACAAATTGAAAAGGCATCTGTAGCACAAGGCCAGATAGCATAGTACAAACTACATGCCCATTTTGTTAAAACAAATATAAAAGGGCACTTTTAAGCTTAAATTTGAAAAATAGAACTAATGACTAGTCAGCAATCTTCATAACTATTAAATTCTACAGCTTGACTGGTTGCTTGTGCCACCAACCCAACCCATAAAGGTCCACGAAATTTATTGATTGGCCAAGTTTCAGATAATTTTTTCAACACAAAATAGATGGCCATATGATGAGCCATAAATAACTGAACTGAGCATTTCAAATCACCAGTATATGCTCCATTTCCCTAAACAAGCAATTTTTTCCTGTACAGTACATTGTTCAAAGCTTGTTGAGTAATCAACTTGCATTAGTCAATCTTTAAATTTTGGACTCGAGCTTCGAATCATTTTATTTCAAACTTATGTTGTAAAATAAACAAGTTAAAGAAATAAAAAAAAGCAACTTACATCCAATTGGGAAGCCTTCTCTTCAAGTACGCGCATTGCTTCATCAGGTTGGTGAACAGTAAAGGCTGGAACTCCTTGCTGCACCAAAAGAGGACCAAGACAAATGGGGATTCAGAAAAATAAATGGTGGAATAAAACAAACAAACAAAGAAAAAAATTTCTTTTGGATGCAAGGAACATTTCCTATTGGAATACATTTAATGTTCTAAAGGAAATTCAATTCTGAAAAACACCTTAAAGATACCAGCCTTCTCCCCTGCAATTTCTCCGAGAGTATTTCCTGTTAACAGCATATTGCAAAGATTGAAGAAAATTTATGTATTAGACCTGACTCCTCTAAAAGCATCATTATACTCAATCCAAACCTAACCCTCACATAACAATCCAAATATACTTTCCAGACAATCAGGAATCTGACATCAAGAAAGCTGTCTGTATTCCATTGTAAACTATTGAAAGAAACTCCAAGTAGCTATTGATACCAAGTATGGGCTGGTTGGTGCAACTTATATGAGCCGCTTATAGCTTTTGTATTTTGGGAGTTTGCCAAACTGTTTGGTATAGTTTCTACTAACCGGTTAATAAGCAGAAATAGCTTAAATAAACTGAAAGAAGCTGATTATTTGATAGCCAGGGGAGGGATGCTTTTCGCTTATGCTTTCTAATTATCAGCATTCAGCTTACAAAAAGTTGCACCTTACAGGCTCTATAAATCATAAATAAGCATTTTGTGTCATCATTGAAACTCGGATGTTGTTCAAGGCTTATGGTTTCACATGCTTAACCACACAATGCAGCGAGGTTAGAGAAGCTGAAACTAACACCATAACCCAAATAGTCAAGGATCTTGCAAAATATACTGGCATCATAGCAATTTAATGGGCTGTTCCATGCAATTGATTATGCTTGCTTCTACGCAAAATTCAGTATAAAGAAGAATGCATACATGCATGCAAATCTATGCAGCATGGAAATAGACACTGGACACGGATATAACATGATACGGACACACTAATACAAATAAATAAATAAATAAGGACACAACATGGCAGAGACAACAAGAAGTATTTATCTTTAAATTATATACAAGAAAATAATTATTTTTTCTTCATTATTCACAATACAAATAATACTATATCAAAATAGTATGAAATCATTTTGGGAAATAATTACGAACAAAAAGGCCTAGTATCTACTTTAGAAAGCTTTCATAAACAAATTGAAAGTTTTTGAACTTTGAAATTCCTAAAATTAAGAATTTTGAAGAAGGGTGCACTCCTCCCTCCAAGGCCTCAGATTCGCAATCGCCTAGGTGAATACAATTTCTTGGAACCAGTCTATACAAGGCTTTGGTCCAGTGCATCAGATACCAAGTTATCAAAAAAAATGAGGAAGGATTAATAAATATAATCTAGATTGTTTTCATTTTATCATTGGATCCCAAATTATTCGGCAAACTTGTACAATGTTTCGTGTGCATCTAAGCAATGGACACATATTTCCCCAAACAGATGTCCAGAGCATGTACAATTCTTAAAAAATTAAGAAACATTTGGACACTTGTTATGGAGTGTCCGACAAGTGTCGGTGCCTGAGAGGGACACAACACCTTAGAAGTGTAAATGCTTCTTAGATGTAGACTTACGAATCAGTAATCTTAACCTTCAGGTCAAGAGCTCAAGTCCCAACCAGCAGTTCCAATCTACCAAGTACGAGTGCAAAATATTAAGAAATCAACCAATGAAACAAGAAGAAAAATATATATTTATGATTTATGTTAAAGATTCTAGATATATTTTACTAGCTAAACTACAGCAATCCTCATTATTTACACAGAACTAGCTATACTGTTTAACTCCAATGTGTTAATATCATAGCTGAAAACACTGTATATCTTCATTTGACTAGTGAGTAGTGGTTTAACACATATTGGTTGGCAAAGCAAATGTAGTGTGTCACAACCAAATGCATAATCCTATATTGTTAATTACATAAGATAGATGTAGTGCCTAACACACAATTACACAAGTAATATATTGAAATTGAGACAAGCAGTTACCTAGGAGTCATAGAGATAGAGCACTAACCAAGAATTTCCATGTGATCATACCCAAGGGAAGTTATACCACATACAATTGGTTTTTGTACCTGAAAAGTAAGCACTGCAAACATCTTAAGGAGTGTCGGAGGATGCATGTCAGAGTTGTTGTCAGACACACAAGGCTCCTCCTAAAAATAGTCCACGCTTCACAGACATGTAGCAAAATAGTTTATGTTCAATCTCCCTAAAAATACAACTTCGAACAGCTACAAAGATACCTATGTAGTCGTCTGTGTCTCATCTTTTCAATACAAGGAAAACAACAAATTCCCCTAGCTGACACCTAAAGATAATGTAAAGCCCTATAAAAACAAGAATTGTTGTCATTTTGATCCACATAAAACACTACGTCTCATATAGATAAAACTTGTTCCAGATAGCATCTATAGAATGGTTCACATATACACTTCCTTCCTGACCATGGGCAAGCCTCCCATGGAGAACCAAATGTCTTCAAGCATGCCAAAACAAGAAGAAGCCATCATTAATCAGATTTGTCATCTTTACGGTGCAGTGATACCCTGTTATGGAAACTTTAACAAGCAGTCTATGGCATTGGCACCTAAACAACTGCTGTTGAAGATTCCTCCTATGATTTTATGCCCATTTCTGTAGCATGAAATCCTTAACCATCTTCTACTATTGCAAATATTTCAGCCCTCAAGGTGGCAGATCCTCGAGAACAACTCACCCCTTCACTAGAAACGACTTAAGTTTACCCCAATCCAAGCCACAGTCAAGGCGGCGTTCATTGAAATGTTAGGGAAGCCTAACAAAATGCCTATCCTACCCGTGGCTAGGTCCATTCCACTGAGGCTTGATGATCATAAATACTCTTCCTTTGGCTAAAGATATCGTAGTTCAATACCAGCAGATCAGGAAAAAAATTCCATTCACATGCTTGTAGCCACAGTCTCAACTAGTTGGGACTCAACTTGCTCTGCCAAAGCTTCTACATCTCCTACGAACCCAACTAGTTGAAGAAACTCTTCCTACCAAGATCTCCATTATGGAACTTTTGTCCACTTCACGAGTCTATCAGGCTGGCAAAAGCCAGACCCACAAGCATCCCTAATTTCATTCTATTTGAGGATTTGCAAGCTATGGTGGGCAGTCTATTTTCTCCCCAATGAATTACCTTTACACAAAATGATTTGACTTCACATTCACTGTGCCCTTACTCAACCCCTGTATGTAGAGGCCTTTCTTTGTAGACCACAACCAAATCAAGACAACCTTGATAGAAACTTGTGCAAAATTTAGTAAAAGCATATTGAGTTAGGAAGTTGAATTTGGACCTTCTTGGTTTGCTCCTTACTATAGTTGTTCGTGCATATGATGAGATCACTAATGCTAAACTGAAAATTGCCTTGATATCATAAACTTATTTAGGGCCACTTCAATTTTATTTTATTTTATTTTATTTTGAAGCAAGAAAGTATTTTGTAGGTACTCCATTTAACAAAGTAACAAGACTCTAGGCCTTGTGCATACAAATTTCTTTGAGAGGAAAATCCATACCACAATTTAGCCAATAAAAAAAACATGGGTAAATTACCAATACACCCCTTGAGGTTTGCTTAAAATACAAATTACCCCATGTGGTTCTGAAAATTTCATCATGTCCCTTGAAGTTTATAATTGCATAACAAATGGCCTCTTTTATTAATAAATTATCAAGTCAATTAACAATTTTTAATGATGACAAAAATATATTTCAATTAATAATTTAGTAATTTTATTATTATATATGAGAGCAGTTAGGAATTTCACTTTTTCAATTAATTCTGTTAGATAAAAAATTCAGACAAGGGAGTAATTGTCATTTTTCAAACCACAGGAGGTAATCCATATTTTAAGCAAACTTTAGGGAGTGTATTTGTAATTTACCCATAAAAGCATTTAAAGTGCTCCAAAACCTGTATTTGTAAATGCTATGGGGCAAAATTGCCAAGTATTAGGTCAAGAGCTATATATAAGGAATTTAACTAGCTAAGACCCAGTACGAGAGAGACAGAGAGAGATTACTTAGATCAATAAGTATTTCCTAAAGTAAATATTTGTACCAATAATAATATTAAAAAATCAACATAAAGTCGTTAACAAAGAAAGGTCCAAAACAATGCAACAGAAGAACATGCAAGATGCTTAGTAGTTAAGTCCAAAAATAAGTGAATAACAAAAACAATGGGATAAATGTGCATGCCTTCAGTCTATCCCAACACCACCAGAAGTATGCCAAAAACTTCTCTTCACATATGTCCACACTGAAACAACCAATGAAAATATTAACAAACAAATTCAAAATTATGTAAGATTTTTGCAAACTTGAACACAAATCAAAATAAAAAAGAAATGCCCATCTCAGAGTTAGCCTATCCAACATGGTGCATAAATAGGGTATGTATTTCAACTATAAAGAAAAACACTAGATATTTGACCAGGCCTAAGTATTTAAGAAGAACAGGTAGGTGGTGTCAAATAAAGTTGAAAACTGAATACTAAAGACTGAAAACTAAGTATTGAAAACTGAATGCTGAATTTTTTAAGTTAAAAAATTGTTTGATAAAAATTTATGTGTTGAACTAAAAATAAATTGTTTAATATGTATAAGATCAAATTTGAAATTTATTATTTTCAAATTGTATATTTCAATTTTTATATTGTGATGGTAACGGTAGTGGTGGCGGGGATGGTATGATGATGATAGTAATGGTAATGGTAATAGTGATGGTGGCCGTGGCCGTGGCGGCATCAGCAGCGGTAGTGGTGACGGTGGCATGGTAGTGGTAACGTCAATAATGGTGGTAGCGATGTGTGTTGGTGTGGCAATAATGACAATAGTGATGAAGGTGGTAGTGGCATGATGGTGGCGGCGACGGTGGTGATAATGGTGGTGGCATGGTGGTGGTGGTGGCGGCAGCAGTGGTGGTGGTGGTGAGTTTATAATAGTATACATCGATACTTATGTTTAATATTTATAAATTCAGTCATAATTAAGTAATTTTTATATGACTTAAAAAAAAATTAAGTTTTAACCTACATTTTAAAAGACACTTAAATTTTTAAGTGAGATCGATTATAATTATCAAACGGGGCTTAATTGATTATCACTTAATACATTCAGTTTTAAGTGGTAAATTAGGTTATCAAACACCCCCACAGCCAACATCTAGAGCTTTTAAGAGATTGTAAGAACTGTTGGTTTAAGCCATAGTGAGAACAAATCATGGAACCAATCCAATTACTTAGGCTTCGTTTGGGAAGTTAGGTTTATAGTCAAAAAGCCACTGTAAATTGTCACATTACTCTCTCTACTTTCTATACGTATTTTTATAAAAAGTCAAAAAACCAACTAAAATAGTCAATTCCCAAACGGGGCCTTATTGTTCACAACTTCACATCCACAGTTAAAAATTAGATAAATGAATAAGTATTCAATCAGCAATCCAAATTTACAAATAAGAATAGTAAATGAATTTATTCTATTCACTATTTAATGCCTTGGTTACAAAAAATTAAGAAACCTACCCATCCAGTCGAAATCTTTCTCGGACATCAATGAGGTGAGGAGATGTGAAAAGACCAGTATGGAAGCCACAATTACGTAATATAGATTCTGCAAACGTGCATGTCGATCCCTTTTGTAAATATCAAAATGAAAGATAAATCAGTGTTGCATCCAATGCACATAATTCACAAGAACATTTTAACAATTTCATTTTATGTTAAATTTGATAATGAGATGGTTTACTTCATGCAACTACAGTTGGTCATAGCAAGCATAAATTTAGTTGGAGAAAATGCATCAAAATGTCTTCAGGAAACTAAAACTATGGAGGATGAGTAGCTAGATGACAAAGGTGCAATTGGAATCAAACATGGCATACCCATGACAATGGCATACCCATGACAAGGTCATAATGCATATCCACCTATATGAAACAGAATTTCAGAACCAAATGAACTTTTTAGATCATGAAGAAGAGTATGAATTCAAAAGAAAATTTCATAATTCCTTTTTGATTTTTTTAATAGAATGGATAAACCATTTGCAATAAAAAATTAGCATTAACAAAATAATTTTCAACTAAATTTCAACCTTTCGAGTTTTGTTCTATCCACCAATAGGGATGCAACTTAGGCGGGTGCAACCCAAGCAACCAAAGTCTGGCCCATAAAATTTAAGGCTTGAGCAATATAATTTCAAAATTGGTCAGGGATTGAGCTAAAATTTGCAAGCAAGAATTAAATTTGGACAAGATCTGCATTGACGAATCAAGCAACTGGACCAATCCGAATTATATTAGTAATATATATAGATTATATATAATACACATGAAATATTAAAACATATTTATTATCATAGTTTGGATAAAATCATATTGTAATGTTAATATATTCTACTACATGGTACACGTAACATAACTCAAACTAACTTTCTTATTAGGTTTAATGTTTGAAATTTTTTTAAAAAGTTTTCTTTTTTATTTTCTAAAATTGAAATGCATTAGTTCAAGACAATCAAAGACAAATTGTTTGTGTTCGAATTCGATAACTCGAGCCTAGCCCAAACTCTTTTAGAAGAACTCGGGCTCAGACTTGGCAAGCAAATCTGAGCATGTGGTCTTGGGCATGGGAAAAATCCCTCTATACTTCAGGCCAAGTCTAGAGAAACCCTCAGCCCAAGTTGGAGCCCTACCATGTAACCACCATTAGTAAAATTGAGGCTTTTTTTTCATTGTAAAATTCTCAAGACCATAGTGATGACATGATTAATAAAAAACGGCTCCCCCTAAACAACTGGACTACGAAATAGACATATTCAGGAAATGAGTTGGCACATATGAAGACAAGTTGAGAAAATCTAAAATAATTCAAATATGTTCAGCCGTGATTAACAGAAAACCGACAATGGCACTATTAAGAAAGCTACAATAATCCAAAGTAGTAAAAAGAAACAATGACAGATGAGCATTCATTTTTTATGAGAATCCATTGGAATTGGCTAACTAGAGCCCTTGTTAAGTTGACAACATAGACTTTAACTGGTAAATAATTTTCTAACTATTTTTCTACTTTAGAATCAACAATGAGATTTCATTAGGAAAATAACAAAATCGAACTTTTGTTTTACTTAATTCAAAAAAATGAGTAATTCACACCTTTCCTTTGGTTCCTGCCACATGAATAACATTCATTCTAGAAATTGGTTCATCCAAGTCCAGCATCTACAAGTTCACATATCAAAAATTATCAGTTCAAATCAATACAAGTTAACCAAACTAGCCAATCACCAATTAGAAAATGAATCACCTTGAGGTAATCAAACAGAAAATCGAATCGATCGCCTTTGTTGCTCTTATCAGCGCGACTGCGTTTTGTAATCAGAGAAGACAGAGCATCCATAGCCTCTTCATACGGAGACACTGTAGGTCTGGGAGATCCATCGTTACCTTCACAGTAACATCATCAACAACCAATACATTAACCAAACACTACTACATATCTAACATTTTCGAATCAGCAAAAAATCAAAAGAAAGTGAATCACAGAAAGGAAGAGAGATTGGGAGAGGTACCTTCTGTCATGACGACACTTCTCCGAAGATTGAAACCCTAGAATTCAGCAGATGATTTGGAAGATGAACCCAACGGTACGGGTATTAACATCAAGATGTCCACCACAGAATTCACAAGTCAATTTCCCAACAGATTTTTAGATGTTGTTTTGGATGCTGCTTTCGAAATTAGATAATAAGCTTTGTTTGAGAATAATAAGCTTTGTTTGAGAATATTAACACAAACAAGTCTGGGTGGTGTAGTCGGTTATCACGCTAGTCTCACACACTAGAGGTCCCCGGTTCGAACCCGGGCTCAGACATTTTTGTTTTGTTATTTGATGATAATCCTAATACGGTTCTTTTTTATTATTTAATAATCCTAATACGATAGTTAATCCTTTTATTTTTTTTGGCTAACCTTTCAAAATTTTCTCCAGTAGTTGAGGTCTAAAAATGTCATATTTGGCGCCACGTGACAATAACACATTATTAGATAATACTTTATTCATACAGTTTTAATATTTTTCTATTTTAACCCTTAAAAAATATTTTTTCATCGTGACTCCTAAGTTTTTAAATTTTTTTATGAGTTAATTACTAAAAAATCCTGTTTACATATTTGGTAGTAGCTTAGATCCTGTCAAAAAGTTTTTGAACCAATAAGTCTCATTTATAAGTAAAAAGACGTTTTGCCCTTTAATCCCAAAACTGAGAATGTTCTCAATTTCAAAACTGAGAATATTCTCAATTTTTAAACAGAGAATGATTTCAGTATATAATTATTAAAATTAAAAAAAATTTGTTTGGCTTCTAAGAAAAGTATGGGATTGAAAAGAAAGATAATTCTGCGAATATTCTAAGAAATTTATAATTATCAATTTTGAGAAATTTCTCAATTTTTTCATGATTAAAATTGTGAATATTATAGACTGAGAAGGTTCTCAATTTTAAAAAACTCTCTCTCTCTCTCTCAATCTCCTAATTGGTTCTTTTGTCTCAGCTATGCACTTTCTCTCTCCGATTGAAAAACAAAATCTGGAGCTTCTAATTGAAGCGCTCTCTCTCTCTCTCTCTCTCTCTCTCTCTCTCTGTGCAATAAAATCAATCATCAGTCATTTTTATGGTTGTTAATGGCCGAAACAGAGCAATAATGGACTCATGAGAGAGACCCCATCGCACTGCCAGCACAAGCAGTACCAGCGAACTTTTCATCTGCTTCACCTCTCGCCTCTCCTCTTCTTCTTCCCCGTCCATGAAGATCTCTTCCAAGTCAATCCTTAGCCCAGGCCGCGCTCGCGACGCACTCGTCTCTCTCTCCAACTCTCTCAGCCGCCGACTCAGAACAAACGGTAGCCTCAAAGGCGGCCAATCTCCCGTGTTCCCCACCAGAGCCAAGAAACGAGGCTGCGCTGTCGAAAACCCAAAGCCTTCTTCTCCTAAAGTCACCTGTATTAGGCAAGTTCGAGTGAAGACGAAGAAACAAGGGAAGAAGATGAGGTGGTTTGGATGGGTAAATTGGTCTATTAAAAATTAATGGGCCTTAAAGGAGCAAATAATTTTATCTATGACCTAATAGAGTATAAGTTCACAAAATGAGACTTGTATATAAATGCCCATTTTTTTATTTACTCCAACAACCAACGTAGGTCTAAAATTGGATGAAAAAAATCATGTGAGTCGCACCTAACTCACAAACTCTGTTATCGACACTACTCTCGTCACTACCTTCACAAATAACATAATCCACCACCTAACTCCCCTTTCTCACCGAGTCCAGATCTTCCGCTGTGGTTTCCTGTAGTGTCCCCTGCCATGCTCTAAAACGACGTCATTTTGGTAATTTTTTATTTTATTTTATTTTTATTTTTTTGCCCTTCTCCTTTTTCCCTTTTCTTTCTACCTCATTTGCTTGAACCTACCCGTTGACAAAGGCAGAGAGGTGAAACGAAGTAGTAGGTGCAAGCATCGACTGCAACGCGAGACGGCGAGTCAGCTACGACTGAGTACATCCATTTGGATCCTCCGCTTCGTCTTCTTCGCTGAATTTTGCATCTTCTGTTTTGGGGTTTCTTCAAAAGCAAAGATCAAAAATAGGTTTTTGGTTTGTGCTTCCAAGGGCTTGGACAGTCGGCCTCTAATCGGTGTATTGTTCGAGTCATTTGAAAAGGTGAAAGTGCTCATACTCGGCCCTACTCTCCCCCACTCTTCCATTGCTTGCCAGAAATATTCCGATGAATGCAAAGATCGAAAATGGGTTTCTAGGTTTTTGGTTTACTTTTTTTTTATTTTATTTATTTTTTATTTTTTTATTTTTTATAATTTCGATTGATATTCATCAGAAATACTCCAAAAAAATAAAATAAACCCAATCTGAGACAAACCCTCTAAGGCAAACCCTCTGTTGTTGTTTGGTTTGAAATTTGGGTTTGTATGTTTGATTGAAAATAATTGTTTCATTTTGTTTTGTTTTTTTATTTTTTGTGTTTGTGTGTTTCGCTGAAACAAATTGCATTCTTCTTCCGTCAAAACAGGTAGTAATTTGAATTGATGGCCTTAATGATAAGAATCAGTCATAGAATGTGAATTTTTTTGAGCATTGACTAGTTTCTTCAAAGTGTCCTCTGATAAACTCTCTTTCTTTTCGCAATGTAAAGATGATTGGTGATTCGCTTTCACTTCTTCTTCTTCTTCTTCTTCTTCTTAGTTTGTTTCGTATTTGGGTTTCATTATTGGTTCAGATGAGAGCTCACAAACCTTTGAGAAGTCAGGAAAGAACCAAAAAAAAAATACTAAAACGACGTCGTTTTGAAGCATGGCAGGAAAAGGCCGCAGGATTCCACGGCAGAGGATCTGCACTCCAAAATCTTTAGATCGCATGCATGAACTGTCCCATACCTCATTCAAATAGACACCATTGAATACTATTGTCTAGTTCTAATTGTTTGAAAATTAAGGCTGTATTTGGTATAGCTCTGGAATCTTAATTCCAGAGTTATTTTCAACGCATTGTTTTGTTTAAGCTTTCCAAAATTGATTCCAAGTCACATTTGAAAACTTGTTTGGCAGCACAGTGAGCTTTGGAATTTTGAAAAGAGCAATTTTGGTCTACCCGATCGTCCACTTGGACATCTCCCAAATGTCTGTCCGGTCATACGGGTGGTTGACCGGAACTTTTTTTTTTTTTTTGTGTGTGTGCAGATGGCACTTGTTATTTGGAAGAAAAAAAATGGGAATTTGTTTTTGATTTTTTTAACAAAAATAATATTTTTTTTATATTTTAAATCAAAAATATTATAAAAAAAATTAATTCAAACCAAATATACAACAAAAGTTATTTTAAATTAGTAATTGAATATTTATTTTGAAAAAAAAAATTATTTCCTTTGTAATATTTTCAATTAAAAAAATTATTAATGTTATTTTTGTTAATAATTAAATTTTTAATTGAATTTTAAAAAGAATTGGATTATGAATGTTGATTAGAATTTTCAATAGTGTTTTGAGTAGTGTGTTTGGTTATAAGTTATAACAATTTAAATTAAGTTTTGAAAACTCTTTCTAAAACTCATAACCAAACAAATTTTTTTATTTCACATGTCATATCAAACATTCAAAACTCAATTAACACTTAACTTAAAACTCAATTTAAAACTCTTTTCAAAACTCATAACTAAACAAATTTTCTGCACTCAAATCATAATTTCAAAACTCACAAACTCAAAATACAACTATATTCTTAAATCATATTTAGAAAACTCTATCAAATGCTATCTGCTACCTGAATTTTTTTTTTTTTATAGTAAATTTTTTTAATATTTTAAGTTTTTTTTTTTTACTTTTTAGATTCACATAACCTAGGTGTACCTAAAAAGTAAAATATTTATTAAAAAAAAAATTATTTTAAACAAATCAATAAATACACAAGAATCCGAAAATGTACTAAATTTTTGTTTTTTTTTTTAATTTTTGATATTTAGTGAATTTTTTAAAGATTATTTTCACAAATATTATACTTTTTAATTGTATTTATATTAAATATATCTAAAAAATAAAAAAAAATACTTAAAATGTTTTTAAAAATTCAATTTTCACTAAAACAAAAAAAAATGTAAAAAACAAAAATTTTAATTTTCAAAAAATTAAAACCAAATAGGATGATTATTAAACAATGTCTCTTTCTCAAATCCGATTATCATTTTAATAGTTTTATAGTCTTGCTCAAATTGGATTATCATTCTAATAGTTTTAGAGATGGAGGGTAGCTTCAAAATGGAAACCAAAGTCATTTGTATATTTTTTAACAAACATTGGCTATATGGAAAAAAATAATAATAATAAAATAAAATAAAATAAAAATTATTGATTGATCTATATGATTTGATATTTTAACTTTTAATTTAGATAAATTATATTCACCTCTCATGAAACTTTAAGAAAATACAGTTGGTCTCTCGCTTTTAACATAATTACATTGGCATCGTTTTTAGAAAAATTACAATGGCCGAAACTAATTCAGATGGTAACTAGACACTAAAATAAAATAAAGACAAATATATATATGTATATATATTAATACAAAATAAATGACAATATCATTTTTTTTTCTTTAATACAACTGATAAATTATTGATAAAAAATAATCTAGTTGTGATATGTGAAGAAAGACCTTAAGGGAAGACAATGCACTTATGTCAAAAATAAAATATTATCTGTATTTTTTTTTGAATCTCAAAAAAGATGAGTGTAATTTATTCTTTTAATTTATTTTTTTTTCTATAGATTTTTGGCTTTCACAAACCAAACAGAACCATAATTTGAGAGAGATCATCCATTAATCCTTTCTTGTGTGAATGAAACGTCATCTCTTTTTCTTTTTCTTTTTTAAAAAAATAAACTGAAAATTAAGAAACACACTAGTGTTTAAAGTAGCATTACAACAACCTAGAGGGCTAATTCCTCACAATACTAACTCCAATCATATCATTTATGACCAAAGCCCTAAGATCATCTAGGGAATCTTCCAACATCACCACATTTTCATCTTGAGCCACCCCTATGTTGGCCAACTTGTCATCCACTCTATTTCCTCTCTTAGAGTATGCCCAAGTGTGCAGTTGCATCTTTTCATTAGAAAGGCCTCGTAAGAAGAGTTATGGCTTGGGCCATTTTGGATTAGGT